CATAATATGATTTTTTTTTTATTCTTCCTTTTGATCACTTTTCTTTAGAATTGTTTATTCTTCAAAATTAAAGCGAAGTTTCTCCCAAGGAAAAAAAAAACTAAAAATGCATCTGATCGAAAGATTATACCTAATGTACCTTTAAGTCTTCAAACGTCGGAAAAGGGTACAATTGTACCCACTTTTTCATTTTTGAGTCTAACACCAAAGACGTTTTGCACCGTGGAAGGGCAACATTGTATATTTAATATTCAAGAGTTACAATTTGCGTTTTCCCACTTCCCTATCGTAGCTATTATTTCCTTCCGTATAACTAAATAAATATTTGTTCACATTTTCTGCTTTTTATTTTGCAACATTCGAAAACGAAGTACATAGTTGCAGTAAACATTTAGAATGAAATCTATTCACTTTTTATGAGCCCCTCGTCTATACTTTCATTACTTTCTAACCTTGCAATGCTCCTCCATAGCGTCCGAGCAGTTTGCTCCTTTGCTTTCGCACCATTTGCTGCTTTGTACATCTTTGCATTATTAAATATGTATTCGTGTATTATGCTATCATAAGTGGGGAATTACCAAAAGCTGAAACACTTAATGTTACTCGAATGCTTTTTCCACATTTAAAATGCAAATATGAATAAAACAAGCATCGAGTGAGGTGACCAAAAGTGTTGACATATAGATAAAGTGAACGGCAAAATACTTGAGCACACACACTTGAACTCTTGCCCCCAAGTCCCGATCCAGCCATGGCGTTGTCGAATGCAGTATAGCGCGGGCTATTGACATTAAGCCAAACGAGCGGAGTGGAGGAAACCCCGTTGAAGTTGATAAAGTGCCAGAATTTCAAGTGGACCTTTGTTGCCAGATGCCGATGTGTAGCAACCGTGGGCTAGGTAGGGGCGATTGTAGCAACCTATGTATGTATGTAGGAGAGAATCGAATGCTAATGCTCGCATGTAGGCATAAGCAGAGTAACAATGCATCCATCCACATGCATATATATATATATATATATATATATATATATATATATATGTAAGGCACATATGGATGTATGTTTGTGCATTGCAAGCCTAACCTGAAAAAGTTGCTGTTATGTAGCCGTTCAATAACATTCACCGTGTAAAAAAGAACTTCTAAGAAGCTCGATTTTAATACACGCTTTTAATTCCAGTTCCACGAACCATATTTGTTGATATATGCTTTCCATCATTGAGCGAAATTTTAAGTATTTTTCCCAAACAGGCTGCGCCTGGAAAAACAGTATAGCAACTACACCTTTTCCAACAGTATTTCAGAAAAACACAAATGTATTTCAGAAAAGGCCAAACGTATTTCAGAAAACCTCAAATGTAAAGCATAGCTGTATTCTAAAAATATTTTTCTGAAATACATTTCACCTTTTCTGAAATACATTTGCGTTTTTCTGAAATACATTTGAGGTTTTCTGAAATACATTTGGCCTTTTCTGAAATACAATTGCGTTTTTCTGAAATACATTTGTGTTTTTCTGAAATAAATTTGAGGTTTTCTGAAATATATTTGCGTTTTTCTGAAATACATTTGAGCTTTTCTGAAATACATTTGGGTTTTTCTGAAATACATTTGAGATTTTCTGAAATACATTTGAGGTTTTCTGAAATACATTTGGCCTTTTCTGAAATACATTTGTGTTTTTCTGAAATACTGTTGGAAAAGGTGTAGAGTTTTGGATCACGGTTATATCTCGAAAAGCTCAGGATGATCAGATTATAAGTCATTGGTGATGATAACTCTCACTTCCGTAGTGTCTGTTTCAGTAGCCCTCATGTCAGGAAGCATTGTGGAACTCCAATTTCTGGATCAAAAATTAAAAAACCCATGAGGTAACAGACAGGCCAAAGCCTTCATTCCAAAAATTTCAGCTAGGAGAAACACAATTTTCCATAACTTCAGTAGACATGGTATGGATATTAGGGTACATGTCATACTTGTGTATAGCTCAGTTATGTGGTGCCCTCACTCCTTAGTATTACCTTCTTTGGATGCACATAATGAAATCTCATCAAGAGAACTCAATATCTAATATGTGGATGAACAAAGTACTGTAAACGAATAGAGGTCTGTTAGAATATATCAACACTTTTCACGGCAACTTGCTGACTTGTTCCCTCTTCGTTCGAAAGTAAATTTTCAAAATCTAATCTAGGTCAAATCACCGAATTGACTGCGCCACTTTTAAAACTTCAACCGGTTTGGTCTCAAAATGGTATGACGACCGAAATTCGTTCCGAAATACATGGTAAATATTTATGACTATAATTGCATTAAAAGTCTTGAAACGGTTATTTATTTCCTTGAAACTGTTATTCCAAATTAACACTCAATTTATTTTCTATCGCTTTATTAGACTGAAAATACTTTTAGTTAATTAAAAATATTGGCAATTAACACATCGGATTTTTTTATTAAGTTTGGGATACGTGGCGTATGAGCAACAAAATTTCATACTCATATTTCATACAAAAAAATGTAGTATTTATGTAATTTAACAATCCATTTAGAGAAGGTGATTAATCGCAGGTAGTACACTGCGATTATTTAAAAATAAAAAAAAAACCTTGCGAAAATGACCTGTTCTAAAAAAACGGTATACATCTACGACCCAAAATTAAGTTTACGTGGCTCAGCGTTTTGTGCCATTTTAGCCTCCATACAGTGTAATTATGCATTAACGATGCGAACTTCACTATTTTTTATTTTCCTTCAAAATTAAATTAAGAATTATCTTTACAGGGTGTATTTACATACATACATACTAAATATATGGATATCGTTATCTCAATATAGAAAGGCCTTAACTCATTTTCTTTTCAAATCCAGCACTGTACATACATAAGTCTGCCGAATATTCGCTAAAAAACCTATTGGTAAAAAAAAACTGCTACAACGTAAAAAGGGCCTTTAAAAGAAATTCGCAATAAAAGAACTTGATTTTCTATGGAGTTTTTTTCATCTCTCTCTATAAAGAAACGAGTATGTTTGGGGCTTTCTATATGTAGGTATGTGGCAAGGTAAATAGACGGAAAATCATTTATTTGCATATGTATGTATGCATACAAATTCATTCACTTGCGCTGTTTTTTGGCAGCATAAATCACTTTTACCCCAAGCACTTACTAAAATATGCCAATGTCAATGTTTGGAAAGCCATTGTTCGTTCGCTGAAAGCAGCCACATCGAATTTTTTACAGAAAATAAAAGAAATACGAAACGAGAGAGAGAGACTGCATGCCCTTACGGCATACTTAACAAAAAAGAGAGATACTAATTATGACATTCTTGCAATAAACGACTTTACGTTTTTTTTTTTCGAAAATATTCTCGAATATGTAAAATATTTAT